CGCTAAAAATACAGATGTGGGTGAAAAAATGTGGGAGGGAGAACAGAATGGAAAAGACTGATAGCTGCTCACTGTCTTGCCTTGAATAAATGTGACTCTTAACAGTTTGAGGAAGAAAGATACCAGACTAGAAAATGAAAGACTTCACAGAGGTAACAGTGTCCTGCAAAGGCCAGACACAAATAGTACCGAGTACGTTTTAATGACGCTGCTAGGTAACCTATAGAAGATTTCTGAACATGCCAGCTAAGTGGTATTTTCGTTTCATTATGTGAAACAACATGGTGCTGATAGTGCAAATCTGTCCCTGGATGCTGAAGCTGGTGGGATCCTCATCTGATAACAGACAAGCATAACTTCAATGCCCAGTGGGGTCAAGGTAGCATGTAGTTCTATGGGCTACATGCACAGGTTCTAGATACTATGGCACTAAGCAGATGCAAGCACAAGCCTGAATGTGACCCTGAGAAGAAAAATGATGGGACATTGCATTTGTAGCTTCCAGACTGAAAGGACAACATCACCAGTCAGTGAGGTGTGCCAAGAAAACATCTAGTGCCATGGTGATGAAAGAGTACTCTCCCTCCTTCTGAGCCATCCAAAAATTAGGAGGCTGATCCAAGATATCATGCGGTGTCCTGAAAAAGTCAATGGGAAGGATTAGGCATATCCACAGAACACTTTCTCCTGTCCCACAATAGTTGCTTTGAGATGTGTGCATTGAATCCCCACTGACAGTGATGTTCAGGTCCCACTCTGAAGGAACCTGGACGGCTTGCTCAGAAAAGAGGACCAGTTGAGTTTTCGTGTGTTTAGAGTCACATACACTTCTGAGGAGTCTTAACTCCAAACTATCATCAAGCAGAAACCCCACTATGTTGGAGAGAACTGGTATATGCCGCTCATACCAATTTTGTCCTAGTTATTAATATGAATATATACTGTACTATTTATTCCCAGACACAGACCACGTTGACTGTTTGAAACAGGGCTACTGTGTTTTTTGTTTCCTCTCAAAGCAGACATCATGTCCAGGTCATATGGTGAGTGGGAATTAAAGGGGAAAAGCGCTTGGGGGTATGCCTACAAGTATGAAGGGGATACAAATTGCCTTTCATCAGTTAGGGATAGTTTGATGTCTCTGTGATGAGACTCCTGGGGGAAGAACGCAGGCCATTAGACCTTCCGCTGAAGAAAAAGGGAAAGGAAAAATCTTGCTTGGGAATTGGTATATGTTCTGAGAAGACCATAAATAGACTTTAACCAATAGAACACGAGGTTTGGTCACAAGGATTAATTACACATCCGTGCTTTGGGTGAAGAAGAGATGATCAAGAGCTGTCAAAAAGTAGGATTTAGAAGACCAGATATGCCAAAGCTCCACTTTCATCCTTCCATGGATGATGAGGAGTTGCTGTGGCCGAAGGAGGGAGGCCCAGGGAGCGCTGATGAAGATCTTCCATGGAGAAGGCACCAACAGCTGAGGAGCTGAATCAGAAATTACTTCTTGTCTGTGTCCTTTGCAAGGGCGTGACATTTGGTAAAAATGACCTTAGCTGGTGTGAAAATGAGACACTGCCACCGGGGACAGTGAAATACACATAGAATATTGCAAAGGCTGAGATAAACTTGCTTAATGTAGTTAGGATTTTTCATAACAACTTTTTAAAGGAAAGTAACACTTTACTGACATGAAATATTTTGCAGAAATGCATTGTTTTCAACAAACATCCAGTGAAACACAGGAGTTGCCTTCCTGCCCAGGAGAACCACCCAACCAAGAATCATGACCCAGCCACAGTCTGTCTCAGGCTGCCACAGCCATACAGACTGTCTCAAAGCTGGACATTTTGGGTTTTCAAGGTGCTCCAACATATTCATATCACATTCTAAGTCCAGGACTGGGGACCCCAGAAGCTTTTTCACTGCGTGCCTATCAGAGGTTTTTTTTCCTCCTATTTAATTAGTTGAAGTAGTCCAGAGAAATTAGACACATAGTTACTAGTTGTCAAATTTGGAGTCCTCAAGTAGACTGCCTAAAAATCTTTATGTTTGTCTGACTTTGAAACCAATCAACATTGATGAAGTCAAAATTTAAATATGGGTGTTTTTCCTCTTCCAGTATCACTTATTTCTACCAAGAGAATATTCTGGGTTATATAAAATACAAATTAAATGACTGGTTTGATGGTTGGACTCGATGATCTTGAAGGTCTTTTCCAACCCAAACCATTCTATGATTCTGTGAACTGATCACTTGAAATACTATCATTATATAATTCCTTTCCTCCTTGCCTCGGTGCCAAGCAGCACTTAAAATCCACTTAAAATCCCCTGCATAATGTTTGTCTTTAAAAATTTTGAAGATGCTGGAGAGCATTCATGTACTAGTATCTCAGATCATCAGTCAGAAGCCATAGGAAAAGGGACAGCTCTTTTTGGATTTAAGACTAAAGTCTTTCATGTGGGAGAACAGCTTCAATTCAGCAAAAAGCTGTGCTTTGCTGAGCTGGAGGCAATTCCACTCCATGCCTTCCTTAATGAGGGCAGTGGAGAATATCAGCAGGCTCCAGGCAGTCACTTGTCTCCTGAGAATGGGATATGGTTGGATTTGGGGGTGTAGGTGGTGACTTTTCCTTCTGTTGCTGGTGGAGTACACTGGTAGTTTAATTCTCATCTTTCACTTTTTCTGTTTCTGTGACTATTACTGTTCATTCAAGGATGACTTGGAGACTGCAAATGTCCTTGTATGCTCCTTGAAAGCAGGATTTCCACAGCAGAAGAGGTATATTAACAGTTTGATGTGAAACATCACAGTAGGACACCTCCTACAGAAACATCTGCTCTAGGTGGACCCTTCCCAATGGCTGTACCAGCCCCTTACTGTTATGTGTCTCCTCTGCTCTGTAAAGAGTTGTCATTTCTGCAGTTCAGAGGACAATCTCAGTGCAATTGCCCTGAAATGGAAGTGAAACCATGTAGACAGCCAGTTGAAAAATATCGAAATAATGCCTTTCAGTACTCCATGAGGATGTCCACTGGAGGTGGTTGGGAAAGAAAAATAGCTCATCTGAGCTGTCCCATGGCATTGACTTGGAAAGAGCATTCAGACCAATGATCAAAGTACATGTTTCCCTCATTTTCAATTGGTGTGCGGTTGTTCCCTCCATCCCACTTACCTCCCTTGCCTCAGCCTTCTCACAGCCCCCCTGAACCTACTCATGGCTCTCTGCAGTCTTCAAGGTTCATCTGCAGTTCCCAAAGGCTGAATCTATCTCTTTAACCACAAGATTGTCCTGAATAGCTGGAATAAACCCAGATGACAGCATTGCCACCAGTAGAACAGGTCTCTCCAGCACTGAAGGCATGGGCTTTGCCCTATTCTTATAATTTGTTTTTAAAGAAGACCAAAAAGCAATGGGAATCCTCTGAACCAGACTAGCAGTATAGATCACAGAATCACAGAATCAGTAAGGTTGGAAGAGGTCTCTAAGATCATCAAGTCCAACTGTCAACCCAACCCCACCATGCTCACTAAACCATGTCCCCAAGTGCCACATCCATGCGTTTCTTGAACCTCTCCAGGGATGGGGACTCCATCTCCTCCCTGGGCAGCCCCTTCCAGTGCTTCACCACTCTTGCAGTAAATATATTTTTCCTCAAATCCAATCTGACCCTCCCCTGCTGCAACTTGAGGCCATTTCCTCTTGTCCTATCACTGGTTACATGGGAGAAAAGACCAACACCCACCTCCCTACAACCTCCTATCAGATAGTTGTAAAGAGCAATAAGGTCACCCCTCAATTTCCTCCAAATTAAACAATCCCAGTTCATTTTGGGACAGCTGTGAGTTTGGCTGGAGATGAGCTTTGGAACTATCGAGAACCATTTCAAGTCACCTTCCTTCCCCCCTGCAAAAGTAATTCTTTTTCATTAAGGCTTGTCATGTAATTAGATACCCTGTGTACTGGGTTTGCATGGCAAGGTTTTGATAGTGGGGAAGCTACAGAGGTGGTGTCTGTGAGAAGATGCCAAAAGCTTCCCCCATGTCTGATAGAGCCAGTGCCAGCTGGCTCCAAGATGGACCCGCTGCAGGACAAAGCTGAGTCAATAATCGCAACCCCCATTCCCCCTCCCCCTGAAGCACTTGGAGGGAAGACATAGAGAAATTGGGAGTGAAGGTGAGCTTGGGAAGAAGGGAAAAGGGAAGAGGAAGCTGTTTTAAGATTTGTTGTAATTTCTTATTACCCTACTCTGACTTTTGATTGGTAATATATTAAATTAATTTCCCCAAGTCGATTCTGTTTTGCCCATGACAGTAATTGCTGAGTGATCACCCCATCTTTATTGTAACCCATGAGCCTTTTGTTAATATTTTCTCTCCTCTGTGCTGCTGAGAAGGTGAGTGATGAAGTAGCTTGGTGGGCATCTGCCATCCAGCCAACGTCATCCCACCAAACCTTCTTTTGTTATTTATTGGTTACCTGTATGGAATATATGCATACTGAGCAATCAAAAGTCAATGATAATATGTACAATTGTTAAGTCAAACTGAATAGACATGGACATGCTGAAACTAGGGTTCATCTCCTAAAAACCTCTCAGCTCCCCAGACGAATGCATGATGGTATAGTAGACAATGAATTGGAGCATTTGGGGGAACTGAGAAGTGGTTTCTGAGAGTTCACTTTCTGCTGCTGCTGGACATTACAGGAGCTGGAGGGAAAAATATTTCTGTCCTAGAACGAAAATGTGTCTATGGGTCATTTACTCTGCTTAGAGACACCACATATTTTGCTCACTAAACTAAAGAGCTCTTTCTGCTTTTATATTCAAACACAGAGTGAATGTAGCACTGATGGTGCAGTCAGGAACCCCTCACTAAATCCATGTGCCAAACATATGGATTGCGCTGCGGGATTAGAGCCTACAGTCATAAAAGAGCAAATAAAACAGAAGAGAATTGTACATTAAAGCCACCAACATACAAGACGGTCTGGTTTCATAGGAGCATTATTTAATCTAGCTTAGGAAATACATGATGTTCTTTGGGTGGCACGGTAACTTATGTTGGATGTGGGAGACTTTTGTAGGAGGAAATGTCATAAGATACTATAACATTGGAGGTTACAATAGGCTTGAGGAACAAGACTGCCCATCTCATTTATGCAGGGCACTTCCACAAGGTATTTGTAAACACGAATCAAACACTGCATGCCTGATTAGCACCTTGGTAACAGCACTGAGTTACTGGAGGCCTCTAGAAATTGGACTGGTAAGTTATATTGTTGTAATCTTCACTTTCTACGAGCAAGGGTTGTATCTCTGAAGCAGCTCCTCTTCTTTTCTTCCGGCAGGCCAGAATGAGCCCTGCGAGCACAGCAGTGATGATGCCTCCTATCACGGCTGCTCCAAACAACCAAGGCCAGATCTGACGGGCTTGCTCAAGGTAGGGCGATAAAAACTCCTGGAAAGATCCAAGTGCTGAAAAAAACACAAACAAAAACAGAAAAGAAAAAGTCCTTTTACATGATGCAATGTACTGTCAGTTTTATAGAGGTTGTATAACGGACAATAGTGGAAGGGTGATTGAAACAAAGAAACTTCATTGTTAGAAGTTGTCTGAAGGTCACCAGTAGTTTTTAAACAATTTGCTTCAATCCTTATAGTCTGTTCCTCAATTTTTATATTAAAGGCAGGAACAGTGTTCACTGTCCCCAGTGCTCTTTATGTTTTTGACGAAACTGTAAGATTATAACTCAAGAAGTTTGGTACGGTATGGCCAAAGGTCCTGCTAGCACAGTGTCCTGTGGCAACAATAACCAAAGCAGAGCACTAGAAAGAGCTTAGGATCAGGTCAAGTCTATTGTGATCCTTTAACAAAATACTTACCCAATCTCCAACAACTTGCAGCTCAGGAATTTCCTGGACCAGATGTGTTGTTGTTAACAGTCATTGAAGGGGTTGGTTTTTTTTCCCTTCCATCCGCTTTTCTAGCTGCTCTTTGAACTTTTATCACAACTTCTTGCAGCAAGGCTATCCCTGCATTGACTACATATTGAGTGGTAAAAAAAGCTTCCTTTCACTACTTTGGAACCTGTCACCTGCTTGTTTCATTTGATAATTCATGTGTCGGGAGAAGCAGTAGAAAATTATTCTCTGGTCACTCTCTGCACAAGAAATCCTTAAAGAAAGAATTGGAGCCCTTTTTCTTTGGTGAACCCAGGGCAGCTTCTCACTGGTAAGATAACCAGCTGCCTTCTTGCTTTGCGGTGTGTCTGTGTCTCTGTTTCTGTCACTATGGCCCAAGAAGTTATGAAAACTCTGCCATACAGTACTCTCACTTCATGATAGGTATTGGAAGGTGACATCTTCACAGCATACCCAAAAACCTGTTGGCTCAAATTTGAGAAATTGGAATACCTGTCCCCTTGGGCCAAGAAGGATTTGAAACCCACATCTTCCAACTACTAGTTGTAATTGCTATTATTAGCTGTAATTATTAGCTATTAGGGGGAAAAAATGCACGTGTCTGAGCAACCTTTCTGAGACACTCTATGGTAGTTTATTTTTGAATAGTATCCATGCATCTGGACTGATTTAGATGTGCTTAAGCATGTTCAGTGTGGTATACCCCCACAAAGGCTTTAAATGTCTTCCTGACATCTTGCATTTTCACTGGTGCCCAGAAAAGTATTCCCATATATCTTGGATCATAGTGCTTCTGTTTGTACGCTGTGCTCTGAAATCATGCTTTTGGTTTGCAGCACCTTTAATGTTAAGCTATCCTCAGCACTTGAAGTTAAATCACTTTACGAGCTGTAATTTCAATTTAGGCTAAGTACAATTTGTTTGTCCCCACAGCTCAGTTTCTCTTTTGGAAATATTAGGTTGCTATTTCTCTGGTCCATGTTTCCCAGTTAATCCAGCTTAGTATTCTGAGATTGTATTTGCAAGAGTCTGCACGTTCAGCCTTCTGCTTCTGACCTCAGTAGACATATAAATGCTATATAACACTAAGAATTAGAATTAAATTAGGTTCTTGATGTTTCAGAGTGAACTCCACAAACTCCTGGGTATGAGGTGCATTCTCTCTTTAATCTTTCATTCCTCATCTGTCAAATGAGGACAGTACTATTCACTAAAGCCTTTATATTGTGAATATAAATTAATATTTCTGCAGGATTAGGCTGCTATAGTGATCAGCACCAAAGAAAAGTCTTAGAGGAGACATCTTCAGGAAAGCAATAAATCATACATTAGGCTACACACTCCTTAACTGAGAAAATGCAAATAAAAAGAAAAAAGGATTGAATATCTGGTTGTTAATGAGTGCTGTCTATGCTATGTAGTGAATGAAGTGGGGGTCTGGGGAAAAATAGTGATGATGCATACATGTAAGGGTGGAGGGTGGATTATGGATATATAGACAACATCAATGCTGGCATTTCTTAACTTTGTGTGCTTGACTTAGTAACTCCAACAGTTAGTACAAAGTTCTCTTCCTTGCAGAATTTATCAGGGATATGAGAGTTTTGTAAGTGATGTATTAAATTCATACTTTGTCCTTGAACCATCTCTCTCCTCTATCAATACTAGTTGGAGGTCTGAGCTATCTTCTTCCTGGTAAAACATGACATGACTTCGAGATGATGAGATACCACATTTCACAGCATGCCCTTTCAAAAGGGATTAATCTATTTTCTTATATCCTGATAATCAGTCAAACATGCCCTGCTACTGCTTTCAGCCTCAGTCTGTGCAGTTTCTGTCATCAGCCCAAAGCCAAAAGCTACCTCCTGGCATCTACAGCCTGTTTCATTTTGCTGCACAAAAGCTGTTTGGCATTGCTATCATAAAGTTGCTATAGTAACTCTTGGGTGTTAGAGAATGAAGCACCCCAGGACACTCTATAATCTGCTAATCTGGGACTCTACCACAACAGCAAGCCGATGACTGTACTGGCCAAAATCACGCAAACTGAGATTTCATGTATTCTGTTACAATAATTCTTTAATCGATAACGGGGCAAGACCCAACAGTGCAGCAACTGTGTTTGCTGTTGGCTACCTGGGAAAAGTGTGAAGGGAGAGTGTGTGGAGACACAACACACAGCTGCTTTGTGGGAGACATCAGCCAACACCAATTCCACTTCTTTTCACAGAATCACAGAATCATTAAGGTTGGAAAAGACCTTTAAGATCATCAAATTCAGTCATCAACCCAGCCCCACCATGCCCACTAAACCATGTCCTGGACAGCCAGTTCCTGTGTTTGACCGCTCTTTCAGTAATGAAATTTTTCCTCACATCCAATCTAAACCTCCCCTGACACAACTTGAGGCCATTTCCTCTTGTTCTGTCACTGGTTACATGGGAGAACAGACCAACACCCACCTCTCTACTCCCTCCTTTCATGAGCTGTAGAGGAGATAAGGTCTCCCCTCAGTCTCCTCTCCTCCAGGATGAACCTCACAGCTCCCTCAGCTGCTCCCCATCATTCAGGTGCTCCAGACCCCTCCCCAGCTCCCTTACCCTTCTCTGGCCATGCTCCAGCCCCTCAATGTCCTTCTGGGAGTGAGGGGCCCAAAACTGACCTCAGGATTCGAGGGGCGACCTCACCAGTGCCCGGTACAGGGGAAGGATCCCTGCCCTGCTCCTGCTGCCCACACCATTACTGATACAAGCCAGGATGGCGTTGGCCTCTTGGCCACCTGGGCACTCTGCTGGCTCGTGTTTGGTCACTGCCAACCAACACCCCCAGGTCCTTCTCCTTCAAGTGCTCTCCAGTCACTCCTCCCCACGACCGTAACACTGCATGGGGTTGTTGTGACCAAACTATTTGGAGTAAATGATAGTCCTCCCTGGAAGCTGCCATGAAGATGGATTAAAACTGCCCTTTCAGTCAATAGGTTCATGACAAAGCAACAGGAAGCCAGATCAGGCTGGTGCTTGATATCTACCCTCTCATTAATGACTAATACCAGTAATATCTCTTCATCTTGCTCTTTCTGATAGGAAAATAACAGGGATTAACCTCAGCTATGGTCTCAGCATTCAACTCTTATGCACTCTTTCTTCTCAAAGAGAGTGTTAACTCTAGGTAACAGCTACAAGTAATTTCTTACCCTTAATACATCAGACTGTTATTTTTAAATGTAATTTAAAAATACCAGGCAGTCCATTTTGTCTGAGTTGCTGGATGTCATTAAGAGGATAGGAAACCACAACAATGTAATTTTTAAGGTGAAGCAATGTGTATCTTCTATATTAAGGGTAATAATGAGGACTTTCCATGTTTATTGAAGAAGAAACATGCTATGGCCAATCTGTTATTGTGCATCCTGATATTTTCCTTTTGTGGTAATGTCAAACTACATTATTGATATCGTTGATCCAAAGGATGAAAAAAAACCCTTAATATTATTTTTTAAAGAATATTTATATATTTTAGATATTCCTTCTATGTCAACTACAGGATGGCAAAGTCTTTCCAGGGTTAATTACACAAATTAGAAACAAAAACTCTGGCCAACCAGGAAAGAAACAAAACATTTTTTCTATCATTCTTCTGTTGCCATAGCCCCACTGGTACGTTTGCAGTTTTGCTATTCAGCACGACATGTTTTTCTACTTCTAACATGGGTAGTTAATGGGCACTAGGTTCTAAAGTAAACCTTGAGGCAGCACAAACATATCTTACTAGACCAAGCTTGCAATTTTTTTCTTATCTTGGTGAGGAAGTTCTGCATAGTAATATTGCTGTGGAGTCCTGCCCACTCGCTGGCAGTGATGGCACATCCGCAGAGTGGATTACTGGCAAAAATGGATTACTCTGGAGTACTGAGAGGAGAAATATCAAATATTCCTGGGTGTATTTATAGAGCAATACTGTTTACTTTGTTTGACAACCTCAGTTAATACTTGAACTTCTTAAGCACTCTTTCACAGTTAACTTATATAGATTTCTCAAAAAAGAGGTGAGATCTGGCTATAGGATTCCTGATATCACCATGCTATATGCTACTAGGTTGTTAATAACTCACCCAAAGATAGTTTCTTACACCTAAATGGTTTCCAGGAAGAAGAAAAAAAATCAACACAGTTCTAAAATCCATATGTGTGTTTCTCCATTAGGCATCATTATCTAACTATCAAAATATCTGCTCATACTTTTATTTTTTTTCCTGAGGAATATGTTTTTGCATCCTGTCTATTAACTTTAATTTACAACTCCTTATTTCTACCTGAAAAAAAACCTCCAAAAACCTGGGCCCAAAATAATCTCTTCTCATCTTTTATTTAATTCAGAAATATAAACCACTTCCCATGCCAGCATTTTCCAAGTATTGTGACCTTTAATTGCTTATTATTGTCCCAGCATCCATTTTTTATTGTGGATTTTGCCACTATTTTATCATAGGCTCTTCCATGCATAGCATCACCCTTGCACATTGTGGCCAACAATGTGCACTCCTGAGTTGGGAGACTCAGCAGAGTCCCTCCATGTCAGTACCATATTTGCCATTTTCTACTCTCCTGGATGTGATTTTGCAACCAAATTGCTGAAAAGCCAGAAATAGAAATGAGCTGCAGGCAGACTCGGGATCTGAGCTCTTCTCCTGTAACACATCCACGACCAACCTGGCCTTCTATGTTGTAATCATAATGCTTTTATGCCTTGCTTTGACCTGAGTGTCAAAGATCCCTAGGTAAGGTGTTAAAAAATTGCTAATTACAGTTAGATTCCTGGATTTATAATTGTGTAGTTGCCTGCTTTTCCAAAAAAAAAAAAAACCCAACCAGGTGAATCACCCACGTACACATATAGTGGTCATCAAATTATTCCCACTGAGAGAGAGAGATTTTCTTGGGAAAAGTCAAGGCTGCGTCTACAAATTTATCTGTTCCTATTTCTGGAAGAAGAAGAACTAAAAAAAAATAGAAAAGGCTTAGGTCAGGCCCTGAAATGTAAGTGCTTGAACTAGCTTTTGCCATAGAAAATTGTTTTGACAGCCATTGCTAGGTGGTGCCATTAGTCTTCCAAATATTTTTTTATTGATGATAATAAATGTTAGTTTTCTGTAAGCCATGCAGGTTGTGGTGGTTTTACAGTTTGCAGTTCTCATGCCAAGGAATGCTGGGTTTCTGCTCCTGTTACTGCTCAGGTCAGCTCCCCAATAACTATACTCTGACATGTGTCTTTGAATCCCGAGGGATGAATTTCCAAGCACGCTGTTTGCGACCAATTAAGCTGCAATTAAAATAACCACAAACTGTGGCATACTGATTTGCTTTCCATGGAAAAGGGGCCTCCAGGCACCAGATTTTCCTCAAGGGAACAGCAACAATTTAATTTAGCATTAAAATGCCATTTTGTCACTGGGTTCTTTCCAAGTTTAGTTCTTGCAACCAGACTTATAGTGCTCTGTGCAGTTCTGCTTCATATTCACCAAGTCACAGGTGCTCCGAACCGCTGCCCTTGATGCTTTCCTTCAGCTCCTTCCTTTAAAAGCAAACTTTTTCACGTTGGAGAAAAGTCTGGGCTTAAACACTGGAGAACTGAGAAAATCCATATCTGCATCTTGAGATTCCAGGCCATTTCCCATTTGTAAGCAGTTCTTCCCTTCACTCTTCTCAGTGAGATTACCAAGGACTTGAGTGACATCCAAGGATTATCTGAGATTTCTAAACAAAGTTGAAATTCTTTCTCCGTGCTGAACTTTCAAAGTAATTTAGGAACTACTTTCCTTACCTCTGTGTTATAAACATGGAGAGAATTTAATAATAATTTTGTTTTCAGAGGATTGTATGCTCCCCTGGGAAAAGGGAAGAGACCAGGAGATTTAACATTTAACAATTAGCATTGTTAAAAGGTAAATAGTTTACAATTTGCTTCCTTTTGCAGTACCAGTTCAGGACTCAGTATTTCTGAAAGTCATGGTATTCAGCAGTTCTTCTGAGTGTACAATTCTAGAAATAATGTGGATCTAGGAAACTAGTGACTGTCATTAAAAATACGTATAAATATTTCCAGTCTTGATCAGGAGTTAAATTATGGCAATGTGAACAAAAAGGAAAAAATGCTACTAATAAGACTTAAAATAGTAATTTTCAGAATATATTTGAAGCATTTATTATATTTTTTTTCTGTCTGGGGTTAACCAAATTGTTTATGGCATATTAGGAGAAATATTGACTTCTGTCTCTGGGCTATAGTATGAGAACGGCCTTAAACAGTAATATTGGAGAGCTGCAGATTCCTTTCGTTGCATGTAAAATAGTAAAAACCCATATTTTCTGGATGACTATAAGTCCCAATCTACATTTTACTTGAGAAGTGAACAAACAAGCCAAATACATGACTGGACAGTTTATAAATTATGCAGAACCCATACGCCCCCATTAGTACTCAAACTCTGTCCGAATAGCAGGGATGCCCTGACAACTGATATTGTTTTGATAAAGACAGAAAGTGAGATATGAGAATGCTAACATTGCTAAAATGTCCCTGGTGCTTTTGCTATATTGTCATTGGACTTTCAGCTCTTTATTGCCTTTTAATCAAAGAGAAATGTTCACAGAAAGTTTTCTGCCTCAAACAGGGAAAGCAAACCTGCTCAGTAACCTACTGGTTGAGTGGTCAATGCTTTGCAAGGATGACTGCATCCCTCATCCCAAGTGGCTTTCGGCAGTGGTGAATGTCAGAGATCTGATCATCCCAATGGCCAGTTTTATAAAGAATTGAGCCAAATAATTCTGTGCAATCCTCAATTCCAAATAACATTTTATCTTTAGCAGAATTTAACCCTCCTATTAAACAATAAGGACACCAGTGCTACTCAAGTGAAACTATGAGCACTACTATGAGCATGAGCCTTGGTCTACCTGAGGTTCCTCATCATCTACAGCCTCAAGGACCTCTGTCTTCCCTGTGCCTGAGGATGGCCAAGATGCCCAAGTCAAAACTACCTCTGAACAGCAGTGCAAGTCAAAGCCATCACTAAACAGTGAAAAATTCTTTTGATTAAATAAAATGAGGATTTTGAGTGATTCAGTTGCATTCTGTACAAATAACCATAGGGCAAGCACAAATTCAATGGATCACTGTTTTAAGTGTGGCACAGACTTTGTGTTGGCCTTTGGCAGCGAGGTGAACTTTGTGTATTTAAAAGATCAATTTCCATTGGTAAACGAGGAAGAGTTTGCATCTGTCTTCCTTTAAACCATATCCAGAAATTGGAAAATCTCACTGAATCCCACTTGCATTGCACAGCAACAGCTGAACTGGGCAAACGGCTGACACAAAATCCAGCACTTTTTCAGCACTTTTTTTCCTCAATTCTTGTCATGAGGTGACCATTTGGGTCAGATTCTGCTCTTAATAAGCTAAGATAGATTGGATGGATGTCAGTGGCTCATTTTGGTTGGAATTTTTCTAGTGATATAATTTTAACTCTGCATATCATCGTACCAGAAATATGAAAATAAGCAGGTAAATTCTGGGACTATATTCAGAAAAAAACTGGAATAGAATAATTTTTTAATATCTTCTAATTTTACAGACATATTCCAAATTATAAGCAACAGATTTGACATTTATACGAAATAGTCACATTACCTGGTTCTTGTAGATACTCATAGTCATACCCCAGCTCTCTTGAGGGTTTAAAAAATTCTCCATTTCTGTAAAGGGGGATAAATGGGACCATGTAATTTTCTCGATTGTGTCCAATGGGTGCATTGGCTGCTGGGTAAACTTCTAGCATGGGCCTGTGTTTTCTTAGCCATCGCTCAAAAATGCTGTAGAAGAAAAAAGCGTGTCAATTAATGGTGAAGATTGATAGAAATATTTTTCTTGAATAGTGAAAAAGCAGTGTTGATGCTTTTTTTTGTGAACTCTGGGCACAGAGTGACGTGCAACAACTTGAGTTCATGTGCACGTAATGCTTTCCAAATCATTTGGGGTTATCTACTTCAGTGCTGAGTTCCTCTGCAATCCTACAAAAAGCAAAGGCCTGCAGCTCTTCAAAGAGGCTGAATATGCTTTAAAATTATATAAATGCAATTCACTGTCTCACTGTGGCCTTACTGCAGTTTCTGCTCTGTATTTCACACAGTTGTGAAAGGGAGAGAGAAAAGGATTAAACACCTCAGTTCTTCCTTCTCACCTTTGGAAACATTTATTATCCTTCCTCTATATTCTTACCAAGGGTTTTCACGCCTGCATTAAAGTATGGCTACACCATGGTTGGTTTGACATCGCCAAGGAGATGGAAACATCTGAGGAAGAAGGGATGAGTCCAAAAACTTGATAAAGCAGCTGTCAGGAAAGAGTCTTTCTCCAGCCATAGCTTTTTCACTGACCTTGATGTCTCCATAATTGTTTTACATATTTTAACTCCTCTTTCCTAGCTGCAGTTGTGCAGCTTCTTTTTCACCCTTTATTATATTATCACAGAGGCACTGCCATGATGGGCTCAGCTTTGGCCAGTGACAGGGCTGGAAGCAGCTCCATCTGACATGGGGACAGCTCTTGTCACCTCATAGAAGCCACCCTCACTGCCTCATTACCAAAATCTTGCCACATAAGCCCAATACAAGCTGTCACCTACACCTCTGACTTCAGCGGCTCCTTTCCATTTTTCTCTGCCAAAATTTTGCCAATTAGTCGTCTGTCAGATGGAGAGTTTCTATTGACATTTCCAAATCAACTACTGGATGTGTTTGGAAAGCACAATTAACAACCATCCAAGGGGTTGGTAGGAGGAGGTTATCAGCCTCGAGCTCAGGGAGGGATAGCCGAATTCCTGTATCAGTTATGAGGGATGGAAATGGTCTAAATGGACCTGTAGATTGTACTATAATTGAGGTCTTGTTGCTCAACAGTTTCTGGTCCCTGACACTGGCTGCTGACTGGAGGACAGAGACTTGTCTCCCGTCCAACCTTGTAATTAATAATCAGCTGTTTGGGGACTCAAATTATCTCAGAAACACATACCCTACATGCAAGTATCAGCATCTCTGCCAGTAGAATTTTACCTTCTGTCTTTGTGCAGAAATGTTGAGAAACACTCTACTTACTCTGCCACATTAAAGCCCTCTCACACTCATCGAAACAGAGGTAGGGCTAAAGCCTCAGTTCTTTTTTTAGGATCAAAAGATTTAACAGATGGAAACATCACTATGTTCATACACCTTGTCAACCCTTAACAATGAAGGTATTAATCTTGATTAAAATCTTCATTTGTGGCTCTCATCTTCAGTTAATTTCATCAGCCCTGTCTAGAAAAACTCTTGTCAGAATAATAATGTTCAGTTGAAGCTTTCAGATGGATAAATTTAAACAATGATATCAAGGCTTCAGCTGCAGTCATCACAAGAAACTTTGAACAGAAACTCTGTAATCAGATTACATCTTTGGAGAGCAGCATAAAGAAATTCAGTAATCATTTGAAAAGGCATAGAATATAAAGGAAACTGGGACATCAGTTTAGCTTCAGGGGAAATGGGGTTTGTGTTGGACTCCAATTCTTTCCCTGCTGTTAGCAGTACAGATACTTTGATTATGGGTACATGGTAATGCTTTAAGAAGGCAGCAGAGGTAGGACTTGGGTCAGGTTTCCAAAGTCTGGTGATGATCTGTATCTAAACCAAACGCTCAGAGGTACTTCTTGAGGGCTGATTTTTTAAAAAATGCTGAGCAGCCACATTCTGAAAATCCAGAGAACTGATGAGCACGCGGTTCAGAGCTAGAAGTCGTCATTTGCCTGAAATAGCTTTGTGTGACATGCCCTGAAATACAGCATCCTCTCTGGATGACTTAAACCCTGCAGTTTCATAAGCAGTTTCACGAAGAATCCTCAGGCCAGTAATCTTTCAAACAGAATGCAAATGCAAAGCATTTCCATGGAAATGAACATATGTACTTCTGGATTCCTTCATCTGCAGTGTGGTTCCCACATTAGATACCAAGCTTTTCTTAGGAGCAGCAGCAGCAGCCACATTGAATTGTCTGCCCTTGCAGCTGATTCTTAGATTTAGACACAATTTTATGCCTATAATTACTGATATGATGAATTGTGCTGATGCGCGATATGTATTGCCCAATTCATTGAATTGTTTATGAACAGTTCTCTTCTTTAGCTGGCATAAAATCATGTAATCTACTGAAATCAGTTTCATTTAACATATCTCTATGCCATAGTAGAAATCTCAGAAACATTTCAAGTGTCACACTTTCCATTACTCTCTTTAGAACAGCTGGCCCTGTGCATTTATCTTGACTTGGTTTGGGCTTTTTTGACACTTTGAAAGATTAGGATCATATTCTGCTTGCTAATAAAACAATTGGATGAAGTTGCATTTATTCTTTCCACTTGAAGGCTTATTCCTATCTTGTTCACTGAGATAGGCTCGTAACACTCTTTTTTCCTTGGCAAGATAATGCATGATTCTCTGTATTTTCATGAGGGTCTTAGTATTTTTCTTCTTTTGCCTGAGAAAACTGACAGATTTAATATATCAGTAGTATTTTTTTACATTTCCATCTGTTTCTATTTCTCCTTTTAAAAGGGGGGCACTGCCATTTCCCTGCCTTGCTCTGATTTTGTAAGAAAAGTTATGAAAGAAGGAACCTTACCCTTTAAGAAAGGGTTCCCAGCTGAGTGGAAAAAGCCGAGAAGAAAATCCATGGAGAGGGTACAACTTAAGCTACATCTCTGTTGTGAAGTACAAGTAGTCCTTGTTGGGCACTGTAAGCCATTTTGTATCAGAGCGTTACATTTTATGACCCCCCCCTAGCTGAGGCTGTTAATTCTCTTTGTACATTTTTAAGGAAAAATTATATCCTGAAGGAGCCAATGGCTTTAGCTGTCAGCTGGGTAGTGACGTTGGCACAGCATGCCTATCCTTGGGGAATTGTCTTAACTGAAAAGACTTGGCCACCCAAAAAAGGGATATGTGGACAGAACAATCAGAGTCTTTTGTCTTAGAGTACTATGACCACTGACTTACACACTCTAGGATATTTTTTCCTCAAATAAGGTGCACTCTCCATCCCTGGCTATGTTTGAGGTGGTTAGCATCAAAGGTGCTCTCCTGCATGTAGTGCTACCCTGTTCTGTATCCACATCTGAATAGCTATGGTGGATCATCTAATAATTCTTTTATGAGCTTTGGTCTACAGAGGTGGTTGTTTTATCTCATAATGGATGTGTGGTTCCCATGACAGAGAGAAATCAGTGCTTCCATCATCAGATGTTGATCCCCTTACTGTCGATAGAAGTTTTTATTTTCTTCCCTTAAAAGCAGCCATGTTGTATGTTATTTCCTTTAATACTTTGAAAATATGTAGTTGCTTTCTGTGCTTTGTTCAGTAGCGGTAAACTTGGAAGAGCTTATGGCCACAAAATTAAAGCTACATGCAGAGAGACAAAGTGCTGATGCAATTAGCTGGTTCCTTCGTGGAGTAACAATTTTCCTGGTAGAAAAGCCAGGTTTGCAGCCCTAAATGCCCTGGAAATGTTGGTTTTCTTGGCAAAACGCTGCTATTATGTTTCTTTCCATATGAACCTCTGCATCCTCCCCTGGCCCTGAAGATCCTAATGAAGCAGGACAATTAACAAAATGACAACTGAAGAGCTTTTTTCTTCCATATTGCCTCCCTTTCTTGACATAATAAGACTAAAGGTAACAAAAAGACAAGTGAAGAATCAGATCGGAGCTCTGCAATATCAAATCTCCACATTCCTTCTGTGCAAAACAAATGCTGGGCAGCGAGAGAGGAACCTGTCTGGTTGGTACTTTTTCCTCAGCATGTATACAAAGAGAGCAAGCAGATAATTATCAATTTGTATTGGTTGGAACAATATTTTCCAGACATGGAGACTATTTTACCATTGCAATCTCAGTTAGACCAGCATCATTTGGGAGATTTTGGCAGTGCTGAAGAGAGCAGATGGGATGTGAGAGTGGTAGGGAAGACAAGGTGGGATGAAGGAAAGAAGAGAAGAGCTAGTCAAAAGTCATCGGGAATTTTATTCAGTGAATGGAAATGGGGAGAAACCAACCTATTCTAGTATGAATAAGCCATAAATCCTCCAGGGTGACAACTCTTACCTAGAAGGGTATTGAGCAATCAGAACTTAAGAAATAAATATTGAAATATGGAAAATAACTAAATGAAATGGAGATCAGTATCCTGATAACCCTGATACCCTTTGTATTTCTTCAGCAGCAAGCAAAAGTGACTTGGAAGAGGTAGCTTTTATTTAAAGGCTTTGAAATTAAAAAATAATTCTATCTAGATTAGAGAAAAGACTGTTTCCATCTGGAAGGCTTCTTCCTTTGCTTGAAGAAATCAAAGTGCCCGAAGAGCATGTCCCAAATAAGATGCTAAGGCACTGAAAGTGATAGGAGAATAATTTGAATTTTGAAATATGTCCTCTCACATTTAGAGCTCAAAGCAGCTCAGTTTCTTGATATTGCACTTCCAAAGTAGAAATAATTTTGCAAATTTTCATTGTGAAGAAATGTACTTTGCTTTCACAAAGAGTTTTAGTGTGGTAAGGTGCTTTTACAGAGAAAATTAAAGCCATCTGTAAAAGACATGGATATATTACTTCCATTTAATTGCATATAAATAGACCTGAACATTTTCCTTGTTCTGCTGCATACATACCAGATGATATAAAGTGAAATGAAAAGAGTCTTAGTGGAAAATTAATTTGAAAAAAACCCCTGCTTGGTTTAAAGAATGGGGGAAAAATAAGATTGATTTGAGGATGATTAAAAAAAGGCCA